AGCTGGATATTTTCCCCTTGTCCCCCGGTTATTACGCCACTGCGGAGAATACCTGGCGGCTTAGATCAAATGCGCTATGGACACTTTTTGAAGTGGAGAATGGGTTGCAGGCAGGGGTATTGTGATATATGTTCATTATATCTTCCTTTTTATTCTTGTCTTTATTTTTCTCTTCTCTTTTCCTTTCTCTTTCTTTCTCTTTCCCTCCCTCTCCCCTCTTTCTTTTCTCTTCTTACCCAGCCAGCCCGGTACGACGGCTTGGTCAGCCCGGTAAAAACCGTCAGTGGTGGTGGGGGTGGGGGGGAAACAGTCTGCCCCTGCCCCGCCTGTTACGCCACTGTTTATAAGATGAATGGGAATATGAATCATGCAGATCTGGAATCAAATCTAGGTGGTGGGGTCAACATTCCTCCCCAGGGAAAATTTCGATTTGTAGATGGCGGGAAATGAGCTTCTGAGGTGTCTTTTAATTACTTTTTTGTTCTTCAAAATTCAAGGTTTTCCCATCTTAAAAACGGACTGGTAATTTTTTCCCATTGTTATTACAGTAAATAGGGCTTATGTGTGTATACATACATAAAAATTAAAAAAAAAATGAGTAGTTGCATACGAATTTTCCATGAATCGATGAATCCAAAAAAGAAAGGGTTGTCCGGGGGTTCTTCCCCAGGAAAATGTTGATTCCTAGAAGGCGGGAAATGAGCTTTCCCGACTACTGAGGTGTCTTTTAAATTAAAGTCATTAAAAAATACTTCAGAAGTCGGGAAATCTCATTGTTCACCATTTAGAAATCAACATTTTCACGGGAAGAACCGAACATCCCTTTCCCTGGGTTCATTGATTCATTATAATAATTTTCAAGAGGGGAACACCTTGAATTTTGAAGAACTTAAAAGTAATTAAGTTCTTCAAAATTCAAGGTTTTCCACTCTTGAAAACTTTCGGATAATTTTTTCCCATTGTTATTACAGTAAATAGGCCTTATGTGTGTATACATACATAAAAAAGAGATTGAGTAAGTTGCATAGGTAGTTTTTCCATGAATCGATAAATCCCAAAAAGAAAGGTGGGGGGTGGGGAGGTCCTGTGGTTCTTCCCCGGAAAAATTTGGATTCCTAGATGGCGGGAAATGAGCTTTCCCCGACTTTTGTGGTGTCTTTTAATGACTTTTAAATTCTTCAAAATTCAAGGTTCCCCCCCACCCCTTGAAAATGATTCAATTAATCAATGAACTCCAAAGATAAAGGGTCCGGGTTCCCCGGAAAAATTTCGATTTCTAGATGGCAGGAGATGAGCTTACCTGACTTCTGAAATGTCTTTTAATGACTTTTAAAGTTCTTCAAAATTCAAGGTCAGGTAAATTTTTCTCATTTTTTATTTTATGTGTGTATACATACATAAACAAATGAGTAGTTGCATGCGTAATTTTTTTTCCATGAATCGATAAATCCCAAAAAGAAAGGGTGGTCCCATTTTAATTCCTAGATGGCGGGAACTGAGCTTTCCCGACATTTGAAGTGTGTTTTAATGAATTTTATGTTCTTCAAAATTCTAATTTTCTAATAGCAAAAAAA